TCAAGGACTGAAAAAGAGACTATAGTCAGCCCTTCACAACTATGGGTGCAAAACCCACAGAAACGGAGGGAAGACTTAGCATCTGTGGGTTTTGGCCACTGAGTGGCCTGCTGGAACCGATGTCCCGCTGGTACTGGGGGACTGGGTACTTAGAAATGGGTCGATGGAGTAAAATTCCATGTAACCCCAACTGTAAGCCAGGTACTCTGCTTAAGGTACTTTAAAAAAAGGAAAAGTGGCATTTGTCTATTTCTTTTTCCACCTCCTGTTCTTCTATTATATAACATCAACCCTATTCAGAGCAGAGATAATGCCTCACAATAGGCCCGGTGCTCAGTGACCAGAAGCACATTTGCTGAACACTGGTGGCTTTTGACAAATGCCGCAGCCCTACTTGAGTGTTTAATCATTCATAGGCCCTCTGATTGCTTCGTATGTTCTTCCCATGTGACCATTATGTACAGGTAACAGGCTTCAGCAGGGGTTCAGAGGAGAGGATTCTAGTTTGTTCTGCATCCCTGGCAAACATGTGTTCAATTGTCCTCAACAACGTGATGCTGAAAGTTTGAAAAAACTGGTGCTTTTTCAAATGTTAACAGAAGAAGGTACATCAGACATACTAGGTATTTAAATTTACTTGTTTAAACTGTCATGTGTGGGGGGCTATGTGAAGGTCACTGAAATAATTTGGCATGATTCCTGCTCCCAGGGAATGTGTAGTCTGGTTAGGGAGGCAAGATTTACAGAGGGAAGAATGGGTGATATATTGTGATGCATACAAAGAATGTCAAGTTGTACTAATGGAGAAAGAGGAAGATCAATAGGGCTGGAGTGGCCAGAGGAGGTGGCTTAGGAGAGCTGAACGTGGAGCTAGACTTTGAGGGGCGAGTGAGCCTTGGATAAGAGAGCGCATTTAAAAGAGGAATGAATGTGGCGTCATGGAGAGGGGTAGAAGACGCTGCCCTGATAAAGGAACAGTGTCGGTCTGGAGTGGGAACTCGGCCTGGGTGAGTAAGATGTAGCCAGAAGGTGGAGGCATTTGGAAGCTGGCTGGCAGGGCAGCTTGTTCTGGGGCCCAAACCCAGCAGGGAGCCCCACAGTCCCTCAGGCACATGGTGCTAGGACAGTGGGAGTTAGGGAAGCAAAGGGAATGAGAGGAAACTTGCAGAAGGCAGTCGCCGTCTGCAGCAGACCACAGGATGGCCACCTACTGCACCGCGCAGGGCCTCCACTCAGTGCCCTGCGGCGGCCCCGACAGGGAGGAAATCCAGAAAAGAGGAGCTGTATGTGCACGTATCGCTGATTCACTGTGCTGGAGACCTGACCCTGACACAGCGCTCCGGAACAACCATACCCCAATAAACATTAATAAAATAAAAGAGAGTGTCACCTTAAAAAAATAGAGAACAACCTTAGCAGAACAAAGTGACCATGGTTTAATGGCTAGCTTGAATTATAGTCCATTTCTTTTTTTTTTTTTTGGAGGCTAATTACTTTACAATATTGTAGTGGGTTTTGTCATACATTGACATGAATCAGCCATGGATTTACATGTATTCCCCATCCCAATCCCCCCCCCACCTCCCTCCCCACCCGATCCCTCTGGGTCTTCCCAGTGTACCAGCCCCGAGCACTTGTCTCATGCATCCAACCTGGGCTGGTGATCTGTTTCACCCTAGATAATATACGTATTTCGATGCTGTTCTCTTGAAACATCTCACCCTCGCCTTCTCCCACAGAGTCCAAAAGTCTGTTCTATACATCTGTGTCTCTTTTTCTGTTTTGCGTATAGGGTTATCGTTACCATCTTTCTAAATTCCATATATATGTGTTAGTATACTGTAATGGTCTTTATCTTTCTGGCTTACTTCACTCTGTATAATGGGCTCCAGTTTCATCCATCTCATTAGAACTGATTCAAATGAATTCTTTTTAATGCCTGAGTAATATTCCATGGTGTATATGTACCACAGCTTCCTTATCCATTTGTCTGCTGATGGGCATCTAGGTTGCTTCCATGTCCTGGCTATTATAAACAGTGCTGCGATGAACATTGGGGTGTACATGTCTCTTTCAGATCTGGTTTCCTCGGTGTGTATGCCCAGAAGTGGGATTGCTGGGTCATGTGGCAGTTCTATTTCCAGTTTTCTAAGAAATCTCCACCCTGTTTTCCATAGTGGCTGTACTAGTTTGCATTCCCACCAACAGTGTAAGAGGGTTCCCTTTTCTCTACACCCTCTCCAGCATTTATTGCTTGTAGTATAGTCCATTTCTGACATTTCTTTTTCTGTAAGAAACAAAGAATCTAAAACCACTGATACTGGTGCCTTGACAGTCCAGGAGCAAAACTCCACATGCAGGATCAAGCGGGAATAAAAGAGAGATGGGGAGAGGGGTACAGGCCAGGAACCCTGAAGGGCTCGCAGCTGGAGTGGAACTTGTCCGGAAGTTAAAACTAGCAATCACATTTCTTAAATGGAAAGCAGCTAGGCGTGGGAACAAGATTAATTTAGAGGCTGATGCCATCCAGTCAATATTTATGAATAGAATTTTAGTGAAAAGGAGAACCTTGGGTATTAAAGGAGAGAGGCCAGAGCACAGCCAACCAAGATTTCTTTCATTCATTCATTCGTCTATTCATCAGCAAAATATATTGAATGTAGTCGCTGAGTTGCCTGATTCCAGGGAGCCCGTTCACATTGTTTTCCATATAAATGGCACCACTAGAGCACCATGTAAAATAAATATAAATGGGCCCCTGGAGCTGTGCATCAAGGTAGCCTGGATTGCATGGCTCCCATGTGTCAGGCCCTGTCGTAGGTGCAGAAGAGTTAGGTTCCGGGTCAAATCTAAGGATGTTTGCTTTGTTTGTTTTGTTCTTTTTGGCTGCATCACACAGCATGTGGGATTTTAGTTCCCCAACCAGGGATCAAACCTGTGTCTCTTGCATTAGAAGCTCAGAGTCTTAACCACTGGACTGTCAGGAAGTCTCCTGGGGTCAAATGTAAGAATAGGAACAGCCAAGGCTGAGGGTTGAAAGGGCATAGAAAAGAGAGTAAGATATGCGTGTGTATGTTGTGTTTAGTCATTAGTCATGTCTGACTTTTTTTTTTTAACTATGTAACTAGGAAGGAGGTCGATGCCAAGGGAATGGTGTTACCTAAGAGTTACTTTTGATTAGAGTTTTTTTTTCATTTATTTTTATTAGTTGGAGGCTAATTACTTTACAATATTGTAGTGGTTTTTGTCATACATTGACATGAATCAGTCCATGTCTGACTTTTTTGCAACTCGATGGACTGTAGCCCGCCAAGCTCCTCTGTCCAGGGAATTCTCTAGGCAAGAATACTGGAGTGGGTTGCCATTCCCTTCTCCAGGGGATATTCCTGACCCAGGGATCAAACCCAGGTTTCCTGCATTTCAGGCAGATTCTTTACTATCTGATCCGCCAGGGAAGCCCTACAGATAAGCATGTAGACATCCCCAAAGCAAATCCTGCCAGATCCCAGGGATCAGGTCTTGTTTGTGCCCACTCATTCCTGTCCTCCCATTAGAATAGGTGTGAGGAAAACTGCAGGCAGAGAGGTGCTGAAGAGGGAGAGGTGAAAATTAAAGCATATTTATAGACAAATGCTAGATTAAAAAGTTGCCTCCGCTAATCCCCCGGGGTGTTGCCTTCCTTTGGTGATGAAAGGTCAGTGTGAGCACAAACAGATCCAGCCCCTCTAGAGACAGACCAGACACCTGAAATGACTTGATTCTCTAGGCTGTGCTGCGGAACAAATGGCTTTACTCCCTCTGGAAGGCCTCTGACGAAGAAAAACAACAAACCTGTTATGATACCTTTCTCTCTACCTCATTAAACACTTACTTGAGTGAGAAAATTGAAGTCAGGAAAAATTTGTGGACTTCTCTGCCCTCATTTCTGCAAAACTTCAACTTTTCCTTCTCATCAGCTGCGTGAGTTATTGAACTTGGGTTAACAGTCACAAGCCGGGTACCAGGGAGGAGGGGGGCGGGCATAGGATGCTTTGAGGAAGTGGATAGTAGTGTCCTGCTGATGGTTTATATACTAGGAAACTGGCTTAATGTCACAGCGGATGTCTGATTGCTTACAATGATTAAGAGTGATTTCCATAGAAAGCTTGAGTCAGCAAAGCAATGGAAAAGCTGAATCTTTTCCATGGAAAGCCTCTGCTCACAGCTGTCTCCCACTCAAACCAAAATCCCTCAGTCCTGAGGTCACTGCTGGAGATGGGGTCATCACGGTGTCAGTCTGTGATGCTGAAGAATAATCCAGGATGTTTAGCTGAGAGAGCAGGGCTGGTCTCAGCTATGGAGCAAAGGAGCAAGGCTAGCGGAACGGTTTTCATCTTATCTAGGGATGACAGGAGAAGAAGCTTTCTTTTCAAAGTAGTCAGGATACTTTCTACAGAAAAAAAAAAGACAGAAACTCCATTTAAACTGGCTTAAGGATCAAAATGAAATTTCTAAGCTTGTGTAACTGCATAGAAAATCCAAAGGTAGACTTGGGGGGGTTCAAGTATAGCTGAACACGTGGGTTCATAGGCTGCAACAGTGTTCCTAAGTCCACAGGTCCCAGGCTGGCTTCTCCTCTCCTGCCTGTTCTCTTTTCCCCCCGCAGGCTCTAGCCACGCGACTTTCCTTGGAGGCTCCAGGCTGAGCTCGGCCACACCATGTGCAACTCTCAGCTCAAAGAGACAGCCTCTCTCCCAGCATCTCCAGCAAGAGTTCCAGGAGTGAGTCTCATTGGCCTGGCTTGGGTTATATTCTCAACCCAAAGGTGATCATCTCGGCCAAGAGGATAGAAAATGATGATTGATCAGGTAGATCACACGCCCAGCCCTGGAGCAGAGCAGGTGAGGTCTGGATTCCCCACCGATTGCTGGGACCAGGAGTGAAAACAGGTTGCTTATAATTAGGAAATGAATGCCAGGCAGGTCAAAGAGCAAATCTCCAGCTCATGCTCCCCTCATGTGCTAATGAACAGACTCTTCTGGGGTCTTAGTTGACTCGTGGGTCCTGGATTGTGACGCTGAAATAGAGCAGGCCCTTCCTGGGCCCGGGGACACTGCCTTCGACTCCTTGAGAGCTTCGTACTTCTCTCGTTTCCTTTTAGTGTATCTCTCTAGAAAACAGAAAAATGGGGTTTAAACGGCATTTCTGAAAGGGCCTTCATCTCCAACGACTGGCCCACGCGCACTGGACAATCAGAACATCAAAGGGAGGGTTGCGGGGAGGGCAGAGATATTTGTATCTCCAGGTCTAAGTTCCAGCTGTACCACCTGCTTCCCATGTGCTCTTGGACAGGTTAATCAAAGGAATTACTCCCTACCTCAAAGACTGGAGAGGATGTGAATACTGAAATTACAAGAAAGTACTTGATAAAATATTAGTAGTTACGGTAATAGCTGTGTGTCAGTACATACATTATATTTCTTGCTTTTAAAATTTTTATTTATTTGGCCATGCTTTTAATACATAAATAAATTATTTATTTATATATATAATTAATACATAAATATTTATTTATCGGGTCTTTGTTGCTGCATGGGCTTTTCTCTGGTTGAGGCAAGCAGGGGCTCCTCTCTGACTGTGATGCACGGGCTTCTCATTGTGATGGCTTCTCTGCTTGCAGAGCCCAGCCTCAAGAGTTGTGGCTCTGGGCTTACTTGCTTCAGGGCCTGTGGATCTTCCCAGGCCAGGGGCTGAACCCATGTCTCCTGCATGGCAGGCGGATTCTTTACCACTGAGCCACCAGGGAAGCCCTATTTCTTACATTTTAAAGTAAAGAGAAATGAGTCCTAGAGAGGCTAAGAAACTTAGTCACAGTTACCCAGTTGGTAGAGTTAAGCTTTGAATCCCCATCTTTGTCACCCCCAAAGCCTACATTTTCTCCACCATGCAGATGGTGGCAGACACCTCAAGCTGCCTCCAGAAACTATCCCTTTCCTTCATCGTTCTTTCTTCCTAACCAACAAGACCCTATTTTGCTCTGGGTAGAAATGGGCCTAGCTCTTCATGATGCCTCATGATTGGTCTAAGCGAACCCTAACTCTCCCTTTCCCTCTACAGAATATTTACTTCCCCAGGCTCCTTTGCCACAAGAAGTGACCAGTGAGATATAAAGGGGGGGTCTTCTGAGGGAGGTTTTGGGAATCACCTTCTACCTAGTTAAAAAGAAACACGGCTTCTTCCATCCCCATTCTCCTCTGCTTGGACCGCTTGTGTGGAGACGTATGCCTGGAGCCACTGCAACCATCTCGTGATCATAAGGTAACAAGCACAAGGATAAAAAGTCAACTCGATGGCGACGCAGAAGCCTAGCTTTTTGTGGACACCTTTGAGTCAGTGAAAAAAAATGAACTCATCTCCTTCCAGACTTTCTGTAAGTAAATAGTATTAAACGTTCTTTCACTTTAAGTGATTGCTGTCAAATGAGATTTAAACTGGTACAGCCCCTAGTTTTAGTTTGAACCAGAAGAGTGAGGTAATGCTCTCTGCACTTCATTTTTCCCTTCTATAAAATAAGGTTGTTGGAGTAGAACATTTCTAAGGTCTCTTCTTCACTCTAGTGGAGAAGGAAATGGCAACCCACTCCAGTAATCTTGCCTGGATATTACCCCATGGACAGAGGAGCCTGGCAGGCTACAGTCCGTGGGGTTGCAAAGAGTCGGACATGACTGAGCACACACATACTCATGACTCTAAGATTCCCTCATTCTGTGACTACCTCTGAACCTGGGCTGTTAGGGAACCCTATAAGCCATTCAGTCCAACTAAAGAAAAGGGCCCCAAAGGAGTAGCATGTGGGGGTATTTTGGAGGCCTTGGCCTGAAGGGACATATTGTACAACTTGGCTTAGAGGGCCTAGTACTACTTTGGCTGAATTCACAGACCTGCTTTATTGAGGAGTGAGACCGGAAATACTTATCAATCTTACAGGACAAAATCTGATCCATGAGAAGGGACCCAGGCTGCCCCACAGTGCATGTGGGATGGCCGTCCACCCAGACTGAAGTGCAGCTGCCCTTTCGCTTTCCTGCTTTCCACCCCTGCCAAGGTTTATCTCCCAGCAGTGATTACTATCAGTGCCCACTGGAGCTCCTACCACCGTCTGGAGCCACCAGAGACACCTTGGTCTTGTGGTTTGCCAGAAGAGTGACTTCCGCCACCATTAGAGCCAGGGTTTCTGCCTCTGACATCTTGGTCCTTTCCTGAAACAAAATTTGAAGGTTAATTGTAATTGACCCAGGAAGGGCATTGTGGGTTCTGCCACCTCCCTCATTCCCACATTATTTACCTTCTCCACCAGGACTGTCTCACCAAGGCCACCGTAACCACTGAAGTTTTTGCCCATCAATAAAGTGGATTCTATCACAGTATCACTCAGCCTTATTATTTACTTCCATACTGTTCAACTAATCTCTTGAGAGGAGTTCTTTGGTGTCTAACTTAGCCAAGTTGGCAGGCCGTCAAGAGCCTTCTCTTGAGAAAAGCTTGTTTGGCTCGCCTTGAAGTTTGCTTGTCCATCCACCTTCCGTGGCCTTGGATGCTTGGCTGCGTCTCCTTCTACCATGGGGGCCTGCTGACAAATGCAATGTCTCTGGAGGGATTGGTGCCTGCCTCTTTCAACACCTCGCAGTTGGTGAACATCCCCCATCATTCACAAAGCTCCTCAGGCTCCCGTAGTTCATCTCCAAGTTCAAGTCCCCAGTAAGGACCTTCTGTAGCCATGGGACTTCAACATAACAGTTGTTAAAACGGACACTGCCACCACCCTCCTCAGGGACATCCACAACAGAAAGAAGCTGATCCAGACCAGACCCCAGAATTTCCTGTTTTCTGAACTGAGTCAGGCTGGTGAGACACACTTTCACTCTTTCTCCTCAAAAGCAGAGACATTACTTTGCCAACAAAGGTCCATCTAGTCAAAGCTATGGTTTTTCCAATAGTCATGTATGGATGTGAGAGTTGGACTATAAAGAAAGCTGAGCACTGAAGAATTGATGCTTTTGCACTGTGGTGTTGGAGAAGAGTCTTGAGAGTCCCTTGCAGTGCAAGGAGATCCAACCATTCAATCCTAAAAGTAATCAGTCCTGAATATTCATTGGAAGGACTGATGCTGAAGCTGAAGCTCTAATACTTTGACCACCCAATGTGAAGAACTGACTCATTGGAAAAGACCCTGATGCTGGGAAAGATTGAAGGTGGGAAGAGAAGGGGATGACAGAGGATGAGATGGTTGGATGGCATCACCAACTCAATGGACATGAGCTTGGGTAGACTCCAAGAGTTGGTGATGGACAGGGAGGCCTGGCGTGCTGTGGTTCATGGGGTTGCAAAGAGTCGGACACGACTGAGTGACTGAACTGAACTAACATACAGCACTGTATAGTTTAAAGGTATACAACATAATGATTTGACTTACATACATCATGAAATGATGACCACAATAAGTTTAGTGACCATCCATCATTTCATATAGATACTAAGGAAATTTTTTAAAGTTTTTCCTTGTGATGGGAACTCTTAGGATTTACCCTCTTAACAACTTTTCATAAAGAACATACAGCAATTAAATAAGTATCATGCTGTACACTATATTCCTAGTACCTAATTTACCTTATAGCTGGGAGTTTGTACATTTTGACTCTCTTTATCCACTTTCTTCTCTCCACCCCTGACACCCTTTTGCTCTTTAGTGGCTACCATACACTATTACGTGGGCCAGGAAGCTCAGACATGAGGTTTACCCTTAACTGGATGCATTTTCCTTATCCTGAACACCCTGTATAACTATTCTGCATCTTCATTGATAAGCCTTCATTGTTTTAATTGGTTTAGAGTTTCGTTATATCTTTGCCTTTTTTTTTTATAAAGCAGTCTCAATCCCCGTTGAGAGAATACGAAGAAATACCTACCAATCACCAAGAAAGAAACAAGCAGAACGGAACCTCCAGCTCGGTTTAGGTTGTAAGGAGTGTGTCCCATAGATTGAATAAGGTAGTAGTTAGCGTGTTGATTAAGGTCTAGAGGGAGATAGGAAGTCAAAAAGCCCGGAAGAGCTGTTCCCTTCCTTTTAGCCTGTCTGAGAACGCTCCTCCTCCGAGAACAGTGCCCATGAGCTCCCCTCCCCCACCCACTTTGAGGCGGGAAGGACCCTCTAGGAGAACGTCACATAATCCAGGAAACCAATTTGCTGCCGTGAATGAGTCTCAGGGAATGAGGCTGTATTTGTGGCAGACACTCCAATGCCAATCACAATCCCCTGGCCCTTGCTGCTTTTGCTACAGAAGCAGAAGAGACAACCTTCTCTTTCTTAGTCTCCTTTACAGCAAGGAGGATGAAGCATGGTTCCGGGCAATGAAACAGAGGAAGTGGAGGTGTGTTGAGTTGCAAGAAAACCTTTGGCTTTGATGGAGCTGGCCCTGGCCTCTCTCCTATCGGGCAGAGGGAGGTCAGTGTATGGGAGCAAGCAGGCTAGTTGGGTGTCGGGGGGGTTGGGGGAGCAGGGCAGAGGGCACATGGGAGTCTCTTCCCATCATTCCCTTCTCACAGTGAAGCAGACAGCAAGACCATCAACTTCAAGTGAGGATGAGTCAGGAGACGTAGAGACACAGACTAGGATCTGTGGGCAGACCCAGGACTGACCTGGGGTTAGTGGCCAAAGATGTAGAGTAAGACCAGACAGCATGCGTGAATATTTCCCTCCAATCTTGATCATCGGCCTGTGTCCAGCTGGGGACCAGGATTTAAGTAGAGTTCATGTTTTATCACATGATAAAAAAGTTCAACAGAAAGAGAGAGGGAAAGGGGTTGAGGGTCCTTGCAAGGAAGTGACTATAGCCGTGGACCATGGGCTCTAAGGGAGGTGGGGGAGGCACACGGCCTGGCTTTAGGGAGTCTTCTGCCCAACGAGGCTGACAGTGGTACAAGACAAGCTACAGGGAAAAGAAGCTGAAAACGTGGGAAGTGGTGTCAGAGAGATGCTTGAAACTGAGCTGAAGGAGACGGTGGAGTTGTTGGTCACAACCACCTGATGATAAAGATGAGGTGTCCCAAGCGGAAGACAAGGGCAGAAGAGATTACGCTCCATCTCTCCTTGAAGTTAGGTACCCAGACCCG